GCCGAGGCCCGGCAGTCTCCGCCCCCGGGTGCGGGCAGTCAGCGGGCTCCTCGGTCGGCCGCTCCTCGCACTTCGGGACAGTGGGGGCGGGGGCCCTCTTCCGCTCCTCACCTGAAACGCACGCAGCAGCCGTCAGCCCGCCTCTCGCGGGCCCGGGGCTGCGGCCTGGCACGGGACGGGGACCAGCGCAGCGGCGCCTTTACCTCTCCGGGGCTTGGCTTTGCTTTTGCACAGTCCCATGGGTGCGCCCGCCGCCGCCCCCGCCCCCCGCGGCCACCGCTGACTCACAAACGCGGGCGCGGCGCGGGTCGCCACGGCAACCACCTCTCGCGAGAGCGGCCGCGCGACCGGAAGCGGGTGGCGACCCGGAAGTCCCCGCGGGCGGAGCTGGTGGGTTCGATCGCTGCTGGAGCCTGACGCCGCCCGGGATTCGCGTCCTCTCCGCCTTTCAGAGGGGCGCCGCCGCCGGACCACCATGGACGGTGAGAGGCGCCACCTGCAGGGCGCCCCGCGATCCCGGGACCCCTTCCCCTCCTCGACTCCAGATCCCGACTCCAGACCCCGTCCCGGGGCATCTTCCCAAGGCCTCGAGCCCAGATCCCGACCCCAGACTCTGACCCGGGGCATCTTTCCCAGGGCTTTGACCACAGATCCCGACTGTGACTCTGGCACCCCTTCTCCTGGCCTCCACTCCAGATCCCGCCCCGGGGCCCCTTTCCCCGGTCTCGACCCCAGACTTCGACCCCCAACTCAGATCCCCTTCCCCGGGCCTCCTGCCCCATCCCTGGACCTCCTTGGCTTCCGAGCGCCCCTCCCTGAGAGCTCGGGTACCGGAGGGAGAGCCATGCCTGCTTCAGCCTTTGCGGCCCTGGAATGTCGAGTCAGAGGGCAACTGAAAGCGACAGGTGTACCCCCTGCCCCCAGACACCACCAAGAGAAACAAGAAGAGCTCAGGCAGAAAGTGCTGAGTGCCAGGCACAGCTGTAAACGGCCTTCCTCACAGCAGCTCTTGGAGGTGGGAGCTGTGTGTCCCCGTTCTAGAGGGCACAGGTTGAGAGGAAGCCAGTCTGACTCTCTAGTCCTGAGCTCCACTTCAGGGCTCACTCTGTTGCTCAGGACCAGACACCAACAAAAGCAAGAATCAATTGTGAAATGAAGGTGCCAACATTTCCTGAAACGTTTATGGTCTAGTGCTGTAGACAGGTTTGTTTTTTTTTTTTTCCTTTTTGTCTTTTTTTTGTGTCCGGCAACGGATCGCAACCCTCAGTGTTGCGCTCTTACCGGGCCGGGACCAGTAACGGGATCGCAACCCTCGGCGCTGCGCCCGCACCTCGCTCAGCCAGTGAGCGGAACCGGTCTGTATGTGGGATCCGAACCCTCAGCGGGAGCACCGCCACGCTCCCAAGCAGCACACTGTAGCAGTGCGCCACCGGGCCGGCCCTTGTAGACAGGTTTTAAAAATGTGTTTCAGATTTTAAAAGTTGTACAACCATGTCAGTCATGAAGGATTCTTTATGTGACATGTCAGTCATGTGTAGGATTCTTTACAAATTGCCTCGGAGAGAAGATGAGAGAGAGAAGATGAGAGGTTACACCTAATCTAACTCGTCCTATCCCAAAATAATGTTGGGTTTTGCTCCACAGCTCACTCAGCTCTTCTTTTTTTTTTTTGTCCTTTTTGAGACCGGCCGCACCGCACTCAGCCAGTGAGCGCTGTGAGAGCACCAGTCATCCCTATATAGGATCCGAACCCGTGGCCTTGGTGTTATCAGCACCACACTCTCCCAAGTGAGCCACGGGCCGGCCCCACCACTCAGCTCTTCTGAGGGAACTTTCCTTAAGACTATATCAGTTTTTTCCATGCTTAGGTTTTGCCTTAACAAGTTTTTGTTCTTCAGAGTCTTGCCCTACTGCACAAGTCCAGATGAGAAAAAAGCAGGAGTGGGGAGACTCAGCCACATCACGCAGTAAAATTCATTGATATCTGAACTTGCTACTCACTAAAACTTGAGATGTTATAACACCAAGGTCGAGGGTGGGGCCACACCTGGGTCAGTGTTGCTTTGCTGCCACCTGTGTCATGTCAGCCCTGTTCCTAGAGTCCCAGGTGATTGGCCTTGACCAGCACCTGCGCTGATAGAGGATTGACTGACAGATGCACAGAGCTCATCTGAACCCTGGTAGGTTTCAGCTGGGAGACCTGATGTGCATTTGTGAACACTCAGCACCCTCGTTCAGGTTACAGGCTTTCATTTCCTCATTCTGCACTAGAGCAGTACACGACTTCAGGGATCAGGTGAAGACTGAACAAACTGAGTTCAACCTAAATCCACCTGACTCTTGAGGTTTTTGGGGGGGTTTTTTTGGTGGCTGGTCAGTAGGGGGATCTGAACCCTTGTCTTTGGTGTTATAACACTGTGCTCTAACCAGCTGAACTAACCAGTCAGCCCTAAGTTCATACATCATGGTTTGTTTGGTTTTTTATTTTTTTTATTTTTTTTTTTTAAGAAGATGACCGGTAAGGAGATCTTAACCCTTGACTTGGTGTTGTCAGCACCACGCTCAGCCAGTGAGCTAACCGGCCATCCCTATATGGGATCCAAACCCGGGGCCTTGGTGTTATCAGCACCGCACTCTCCCGAGTGAGCCACTGGCCGGCCCTGGTTTTTGTTTTTATTTTTGTTTTTGCAGCTGACCAGTTCAGGGATCCAAACCCTTGACCTTGGTGTTATAACATCTCAAGTTTTAGAGAGTGAGTAGTAAGTTCAGATAACAATGTATTTGCTCAGTGATACACTCAAGTCTCTCCTGTTGCTGAGTGTGGGTAGGGAGGGTGCCCTGAGCCAGAAGTGGCAGCTGACATGGAGCCAGCTCTTTGACAGCATGAGAATTACCACCTTGCTATTTTCATCCTTACCTTTGAGAGACTGTATCACTTGGGAGAGTGTTGTGTTCATTACACCAAAGTCAAGGGTTTGGATTCCTGTACTGGCCAGCTGCCAAAAAAAAAATAGAATGTCAAGTACCTGAACCTCACTGCATTGGGAAAGACTCCCAAGGGTCTTTTGTAAGGTTGTGTTGGTTGTAAACCTCCACCTCTTGAGTTCTCACTATGGCCGAGAGCAGTCATGATCTTATCCATCCTCACCCTGACCCTTAGCGGTTGACTAGTGCCACCTAGTGCTTCCTCTGAGGAAACATAGCTTTAGGGAGGGGCTGCATTTGCTGGAGCCCTGTGGCCAACAAGGGACCAGAGCTGGTACACTGATTCATCTTCTGACTCCCCTGTTTGTGGGCCTCCCTGAAGGCTCTGCGAATGCAGTCCAGCTGCTGGTGTCGAGAAGATCTTACTGAGTTCATCTGCTTATTAGAAGTCTTACTCGTCACATTTCTTAAAGTCCTCAAACCATATCCTCTTTCTTTGCAGATACCCTGTTCCAGCTAAAGGTATGTACTGAATTGTCGCTTGCCCCAACCCTGTCCTGGTGATGAGTGAATAAGGACAAATAGTATAAGTCACACTCACTCAGAGCCCTGGAAACACAAAGTCAGGGGACAGATTATAACAACCGAATGACTGCCACAAAATCAGATTGCTGACCAAAGAGGGGGGTTATTGAGTTGGCTTGATGACAGAATCCTTTGCTTCCTTTGGAGTAAGTAGAAGCAGATCCCTTAGGCTCATCCGTGAAAGACTGTGTGTCATGTTTAAGAAACACAACTTGGGTATTATGTGCATGCCTTGATGTTCCACTAGGCATTTTAAACTGTGGCCTCAAATCCAAAATGATATTCGAAGGTGGCTTTCAGGACAGTTGAATGTTCTTTCTGTCTGGGGTGGTGTTTGCAGCTTCCTAATAATCCAGGGCACGTTTCTGCACATTTCTCTTCAGTGCTCTCATAGTTTATCAGCCTTCTTGTTTTAACTTGTTTTATCACTGGTTCTGAGATACTGGGCAGGAGTGATGTGCTCTTAAAGTGGTTGCCGGGGACAGAAGTGACAGATGGAAGATGCCCACCAGAGGGCAGCATTTGTGGAAGAGACTCAGATTGGTCGTGAGCTTCACGTGTGATGGGGCCAGGGCAGACAGGTTGCCAGAGGTGCCATGGAGACGTCAACATTGTTTCCTTTTGGGGCTGGCAGACAGTTAGACATCTGAAGCTGCACAGTAACCTGTTGCATGCACAGTGTTCTGTGAAGATAGCACTTTCAGGTGTACTTTTATCTGGAATTCTGTGTTATTACTCGGGGGTAGACTGAAACAGGTTCTCTTGAGTCTTTTTTCTGTAAGTCAAAAATCCATCCATAGGCAGGAGTAGAGATCAGTGTGTGTGTTTTCTTCTGAACCTTGCACTCTGGCGGAGGGTTTGGATTAGGATGTTCATGGAGAGGACAGACATTTTATTTTATTATGAAGTTTATTTGCTTACAGTTTCTGAGGCTAGGAAATCCAAAGTCCATCAGGTGATGGCGACAGGGACCCAGGGGTCTCACATTACAAGATGGTAGAAGCAGAGAGAGCAGAGAAAGAGAGAGACAGACTCTTCTCTTCTTTTAAAGCCCTCAGAACAACACCCCTGACTACCATTTTTTTTAACTTCTCAATATACATCGTAGTTGATTTTCATGACCCTTTACCTGTTCCTCTTCCCCCTCCCTCTCTCCCCTCCCCCCATCATATCTGTTCACTTGTCTTAAGTTCAACGAATTGTGATTGCTGTGTGTTCTTCCCCCCCATTTGTTTGTGTGTTTATTTATTTTTAGCTCCCACAAATAAGCGAGAACATGTGGTATTTCTCTTTCTGTGCCTGACCTCTTTCACTTAATATAATTTTCTCTAAGTCCATCCATGTTGTTGCAAATGGCATATTTCATTCTTTTTTATAGCAGAGTAGTGCTCTATTGTGTAGATATAGCACAGTTTCCTTATCCACTTATCTGATGATGGACATTTGGGCTGGTTCCAACTCTTGGCTATAGTAAATAGAGCTGCAATAAACACTGGAGTACAGGTATCCCTTCGGCATGATGATTTCCATTCCTCTGGGTATATTCCCAGCGGTGGGATCGCTGGGTCATATGGTAGATCTATCTGTAACTGTTTGAGGAACCTCCATACCATTTTCCATAAAGGCTGCACCATTCTGAAGTCCCACCAACAGTGTATGCGAGTTCCTTTTTCTTTGCAACTTCTCCAGCACTTATCACTTTCAGTCTTTTGGATATTAGCCATCTTGACTGGAGTGAGATGGTATCTCAAAATGGTCTTGATTTGCATTTCCCCGATGCTGAGTGATGTTGAGCATTTTTTCATGTGTCTGTTGGCCATTCATATATCTTCCTTTGAGAAATGCCTATTCAGCTCCTTTGCCCATTTTTTAATTGGGTCATTTGGCTTTTTGCTGTAAAGTTTGAATTCCTTGTATATTCTGCATATTAATCCTTTGTCAGATGTATATTTTGCAAAATATTTTCTCCCACTGTATTGGTTGTGTTTTCACTCTGTTGATTGTTTCTTTTGCTGTGCAGAAGCTCTTTAGTTTGATATAATTCCATTTGTTTATTTTTCCTTTGGTTGCCTGTGCTTTGGGGGTCATATTCATGAAGTCTGTACCCACTCCTACTTCCTGAAGTGTTTCTTTAAGGAGTTTTATTGTTTCAGATGTATATTTAATTCTTTAATCCATTTTGAGTTGATTTTAGTATATGGTGAGAGGTATGGGTCTAGTTTCATTCTCCTACGTATGAATATCCAGTTTTCCCAGCACCGTTTGCTGAAGAGGCAGTCCCGACCCCAGTGTGTAGACTTGATGCCTTTGTCAAAGATCAGATGCCTGCAGGTGTGTGGGTTGATTTCTGGGTTCTCTATTCTATTCCATTGATCCGTGTAGAGGACAGACATTTTAGAAAACTTGTCACAGCCCCTTCTCCCAGGCAGAACTTCACAGACAGCATGGGAGTCTCCTTCCTCGAACTGGCTCAGTCTCTCGAGGCCCCAAGGTGGCCGTGAAGACACACACCACAGGCTGCACACCCTCTCTGCATGATGCTGGGCCCAGCCTGGCTGATGAGTGTTTAGGAGCCAGAGCAAAAAGGGGTGGCGGGAGCAGGACAGGAGGGTGGGCTCTGCAAGTCTGACTCGGGAAGTCTGATTTCTGCTCAGTTCACAGCAAAGCAGCTGGAGAAGCTGGCCAAGAAGGCGGAGAAGGACTCCAAGGCAGAGCAGGCCAAAGTGAAGAAGGTGAGCCTGGGACGGCCACACTCGCGGCTGCGCGGGGCTGTGCACTCTTCTTTCCTACCCTGTTTCTATTTCTGTTTTCTACTTTGTTTTGATGTCTTTTTGTGGAAGGCACTTCTGACATCTTGGTACAGTCCACAGCATGACTTCTGAGCCCCGCGGTGCGCATATCACATGCAGATGGTGGGCGTGATGGAGGGAGGCGCCAAGTGCATCCAGCCTGCTGTGGCTCTGTCTCTGGCCTCCTGCCCACCGAGGGTGTCCAGAGGAAAAGTTACATGCACAACTTTTGTTCTTTCTCTTTAAACGGCCATTCCTTTTATTCATTTCTGACATTCTGAGCTGGCTTTTGCCATAAATTGTGCAGGAAGTAGGCTTCAGCTGCCCCCCACGAGCCTATCATTTTCAACTCTCTTCCCTGTGGAGCTGGTGCCTTGGGCATCAGGATCTGGGCAGCGGTGTGGCAGCCCCTCCATGGGGTATGGCAGGGCTGAAGGCTTACTGGGGGCCTCTCCAGGAAGGGGTCCCTGCCTACCGATGGGCAAGGCAGAAGGGAAGGGGGAGTCTGACTGCTCTTAATGGAGAGTTTCAGTCAAGTCCTGTACAGCTCTTAAAACTTTGCCTAGTCAGTCAAGAAGGTTCCAGGGGTGTTGGATTTTGGTAGCTTCTCACTCAAACTCAAGCTCCCCAGGGTGGAAAGGGACTGGGACAGTTGGCTCTGCAGTCCATGCAGCTGGTGCTTTGTGGTGGTGCCTCCTTTGGACACTCTGAGCATCTCCCGCTCAGTCCTGTGCTACTGAGGAGTGCTGGTGTGAGTGGTTGGGAAGGGGCTGAGGCCGGGTGAGCAGAAGCCCTTCTACAGGCTGGTCTGGTGCCTTTGCTCCATCCCTGGACTTCCACACGCCTGAGCAGACTTGGAGCCTGGGGTCTTCATTTCTGAGAAACTCACAGACATTTGGGATGTCACACCTGGACAGGACTAAGGGTCTCCACCCCACAATAGCAGATGACACCCAGGGGAGGTCAGTGCCAGTCTCCTGGCAGTGGAGGCAGAGTTCGTACACACAGGCCACGGAGTTCTACCAACTGGCAATTCCCTCTGAGTTTTAGGCACTTCAGCAGAAAAATGTGGAGTGTGCCCGTGTATATGCGGAGAACGCCATCCGCAAGAAGAACGAAGGCGTGAACTGGCTCCGCATGGCATCCCGCGTGGACGCAGTGGCCTCCAAGGTCCAGACAGCCGTGACCATGAAGGGGGTGAGTGTGAGGCCTGGTGCCAATGGGCTGGCCCACGGGCCAGGGCAGCTGCAGGTCTGCCGGCTGGATCTGGGGCAGCTCCCAGAGTTGAGGGGCACTAGATGAGCATAGAGTCTCGGGGTCACACCAACACAGAAAAGACTGCACGGGGGACCTTGGTCTTTGCAGCGTCCCACAAGATGCAGAGCCTGCATGGCTGGGGCAGAGGGAGTCATGTCAGATTCCTTGGCTCTGTAGTGGGGGTTCCCTCCAAACACTAAGGGGCCAAAAGAGATAAACACAGTCCTGAAGATCTGCTGTGTGGTCAGCCTTTTCCAGGTGACCCATGTGCTGGGTCTGCTCATTCTTGTGTGCTCAGTGGACAGCCATTCCTGAGGACTGGGCGCCGGCATAGCCCTGGGCTGGAGGCCCAGCCCTCCCAGTAGAGTTCAGAGGACCTGTCCCTGGGGGGTGACCTTTGCTCACTTTTAATCCTGTTTCCTCCCCCAATTCTCTCCTGTCCCAGGTGACCAAGAACATGGCACAGGTGACCAAAGCCCTGGACAAGGCCTTGAGTACCATGGACTTGCAGAAGGTGTCTGCGGTGATGGACAGGTTCGAGCAGCAGGTGCAGAACCTGGATGTGCACACGTCGGTACGTGGCCTGCCTGGCCTCAGGGCTGTGGTCTGGGGGCAATGGGTGGGGGCCATGTGGATAGTGCATGCAGAGGGATGGCTAATGGCCAGCACGCGTGTGTCCTCCCTGGAGTTGCCACATGTCCTCTGTGCCGGGTCCATGCCTGGACCCGGAGGGGTGGTGGGCCAGGCAGCAGGGCCTGCAGGGCACCCGGCTCCTTCTGGGGAGGCACAGGTGGTGAACACAGGTGTAGAGAAGTGCTTACCTGAGCAGATGACACAGTGAGGTTGGGGGACTGGGCATGGTGGTAGGCGAGCCCCTGTGGAGGATGAGGGCCATGGTGGGGCTGCAGTGGGAGCCGTGGTAGGGGTCTGAGGAGCGCCTAGGCCCTGGCCATGCCAGAGTGTGCCCCCTCAGGTGATGGAGGACTCCATGAGCTCGGCCACCACGCTGACCACGCCTCAGGAGCAGGTGGACAGCCTCATCGTGCAGATTGCCGAGGAGAATGGCCTGGAGGTCCTGGACCAGCTCAGCCAGCTGCCCGAGGGTGCCTCTGCCGTGGGCGAGAGCTCTGTGCGCAGCCAGGAGGACCAGCTGTCACGGAGGTGGGTCAGCACCCTGCACATCGTGTCCTCAGCCCCAGACACTGGCACTGCGGGGAGGAAGGGGAGTTGTAGCTTAGAGACCATGGAGGGAGCTCGGGCCAGGCTTGGACCAGGAAACACTGACCTCGAGTTGCAAATGCTCAGCCACTCTGAGCCTGCCCTGCTCACCTCAGAGTAGGGGAGACCCCCTTGTGCCTCCAGGCCCAGAGCAGCCCACCCTGTCCACCCGGTAGCTTCTCCCCTGGTCCACGCTCTGTCTTGCACCGAAGGCTTCAGTGTGTCATGTGTGGCGTGCAGACCCACGTTTGTCTACACACCCCTCGCTTTAGAAAGGGAAGCCCCTGCTTTTCCCAGAGTAGCAAATCATAATGTAACAGTGCGCAGCACCTGCGTCCTCTCAGGACCATCCTGAACAGCTGACACCGAGGAGAACGGTTATGGCCCTCTGGGTGGCCCTGGCCCTGGGTGGTCATCTTACTTGCAAATGCGCTGGCCTGCCCTTCTCACCCGAGTCTTGTGGTTGCTTTCCAGGTTGGCTGCCTTGAGGAACTAGCTGTGCCCCCACCTCTTCTGCCCTGTGTGTGCTGGGGCTCCCACCTCCCCAACTTGCCTTTCTGCTGACCCTGCAGAGCTGCAGCTGGCAGCCGCCATCTCTTGGCTCCTCTCACCTGCCAGGCCTGGTGGCTTCAGAATTGTTCCTGTTCTTTCAGAGCGTTCAGACCCTGAGTACAGCGGACGTGCTACTCACTGGCAGTCAGTGGGGTCAGCAGCTCCTGGAGGCCTCTCCCCCCACTCAGCAGGCAGGGGATTCCCTATGCCTGGATGGACACAGTCCCAAGGATGTGCCAAGGGTGTTCCGTGCCACCCAAAGCTGCCCCGGTGGCCTTTACAGACAATGACCTTCCTCTCCCTCCTCCATTGTTCCAGGGGTGGGATCTTGGCCACTCTTGCTGGCCTCTGAGCCCTGCTCAGCCTCCTGCCTTGGCCTCCTTGGTTCCTAAAGTCGCCCTGTCCATGGACAGAACCATTGACCAGCTCCAAGGCCGGGTGTGCCCACCCTGGGGTGCTCATTCCCCTCGCTGTCACCTCTGGGGTGTCTTGCCCCTGGGCTGTGTTGCTGTGTCTTTCAGCAGGGAGTCTGCCCATGCCATGGACTGGAATCTGAGTGTCTGCAGCTCTCCTGGCAGCATGGCGTCGTTCTGTGCAAGGGCCTCTCTGTGGGGCCTCTTGCTGCTCAGGGGCAGCATGGCCTGCGTGTTGCTCTCTCCTGTCAATGTAGATTACCGGGTGCCTCCCCCTGGCTGCTCCCTTCCGCCTTCTCAGCTTGTAGGCCAAAGTGGCCGGTGAAGGAGCTGGGGATAGTCGCCCCGGCCAAGGCCGGCAGTGGCCATATTTTGAGGAAAACCTGCCACTTGTGGCCACCGTGGGGAAGCCAGCAGGGGGTTCATGAGGCCTGCTGGGGTGGCCTGGGGGAGGGGTTTGGATGCAAGCTGCTGTTTTTGTTTTTTCGTTTCCTAAAGTTTACTTCATTTTGGGGAAGCTTCCAGGATTTTTTTGTTTTTTTATCAAAGTAGAAAGAGCTGCTGCAGATGGGGAGTGTGGGTGGGGCTAGGACTTCTCAGTGCAGTGCCACGCACTGTCCTCACATTGACAGCACATGTCTGTTGTGGCTCTTAGTACAGAAGTGTGGAGACCTCTACCTTGACTCACTGCGTTTAGTTCTCTTCAGGACTTGGGAGCCCCTGGGTGTCTGTGCAATGAGTTGGTGCCAGGTGGTGGGAGCAGCATTGGTGGATCCTGGGCCTGGGGGAGTCAAGGCACTGTCTGGGCATGCTCCCCTCTGGTCTCCAAAATAGACCCATATGCTGCATGTTGAGAGAAGGTCCTGACATCCTTCATGGGGAATAGCTTTGGGGAGCTTCCTCGTTTCTGGGGTGCCTGTCTTCTTGGGGGCTGGGGCAGAGGCTCAACGGGGTGGGCATGTTTGCCTTTTTCCTAAAATGCTGTTGTAAGTAAACAAATTGGTCCCTGAAAACTTTCTCAAGCTTTGCTTTGGTGGCTTTGGGGGAGCCCAGGTTACCCAGCCCCCCCACTTAGGAGGCTGGGGAGGGGGACCCGGATGCCTGGTTCAAAGTGCCAGGTGTGGGCTGGAGGAAGGTGGGGGTGTCTGTATGAGGAATGTAGATTTTCAGGCCCCTCCCAGAGCAACAGTCAGAATCTAGTTTTGAATTTTCTTCTTTTTACTTTGAAATAATTTTAAGCTTACGTAATAGTTGCTAGGTGTACATTTTCCTTATGACTCTTGACCAGCTTCCCTAACTTCCTAGTTATCCGTATAGACCTGCTAAGTCAGGAGACTAGACATTCAGTAACTCGTCTGCAAGTCCCTGCTCCCGACCGCGTGCCCTCTGAGGCCCACACTGTGCTGCTTGTTCCTGCCAGGCCTGCATTCTTGGACAGGTCCTCAGTTTTCTCTGTCTTTCATGACCTGAACAATTCTGAACAGAATGTTCCTCAACACGGGCTGGTGAGACGTATTCAGGCGGTGAGGCTGATGTCGTAGCTGTCAGCAAGGATCCCACAGAAGTGGCGTTTTGTCCTGCAGGGCACGGCTGCATCTGGCCTGTGGCGTCACCCTGACTGTCCCTCGCCACTTCTTAGGCAGCATCTGCCTTGTAAAGTTTCCATTTTTCCCTTTTTAAAAATTCTTTAACTTTTTTCTGGTGGCTAGCCAGTACAGGGATCTGAACCCTTGACCTTGGTGCGTTTTTCCCTTGTTTAATGAAAGTCTTGGGAGGTATTTGAAGGCTGCGCCTGTCAGCGGACCTTCCTAGTGGCAGTTCTTGTGGCGGTTTCCTGTTTGGAATTCTGCTCGGAGGAGGCATTCCTTCACCTCACCCAGCGGTCCCAGAGTGTGTCCATGTGGGCCTGTGGCCATCTGCAGTCTGTGGGCTGCAGTGGTCCGAGCATATGTGTCCATGTGGGCCTGTGGCTGTCCGCTGCAGTCTGTGGGCTGCAGTTGTTACTGTCATCCTTTTGGCGGCTGCCTTATTGTGTCATGTGGGACGTTCCTTCAGATGCATGCTCCAGCACTGCAGGCACTTCCTGCCCAGCCTGGAATCAGCCATTTCTCTGAGAAGCCCTGGTTGCTGTTGGCAGGATGGTGTCTAGAAGCTGCAGCCTGGGTTCGAGGCATGCCCATGCTCTGCTCGCAGGGAAGCACAGGCGCACTGCATGTGCTCATGTCCTCCAAGCTGCAGGTGGCGGTGACCCCATGAGTCAGCCTAGCCTTCCCTTCTTGAATGCGGAGGGTCTCAGAACTGCCAACCACAGCCCTGTGAGAGCCCTTGACCACCTCTCATCTTGAGCCCTACAGTTTATGGTCAGGACACGCTGCGACCTCCTCAGGGGGGCTGTGTGATTCTTCTGTTAGAGTCTTGTTTGCACTCCAGTTTGGGTGCCCCCATCCCGGTTGGACTTGATATTTTGGGGGGAGTGTGTGAAACATCACCATGGCTCTGGAGTGGGAGGAGACGCACCCCTGTCCTCAGCTCTGCAGGCCAGCGGTCAGCCCTTTGCCTCTGGTGCATCTGCACAGGTCCTAACAGGGTCTGCGGTGGCTTCTCATCCTTGGGCCCTTCCAGGGGAGAGACAGCTGGGGACAGATGCCACCTTTCAGGATGGGGTGCAACTTGGGAATCTGCTTGCACCCCACATCTGTAGCCTACTCCTAGGCTCCCCAGACCTCTCCCCGGATGCTCTGTGCCCCTGAACGTAGAACAAGGCAGTAAGAATGGCCTGCGGGCTGTGGGAGGAACTCCCTGGAGCCAGGTCTGCCCCCTGGCTGGCATTTGAGGCTGTGTCCTCTCACTGGATGCTTTGGTGTGGTTTTAATATATTTAGGACTCATATTAAAACCTTTTTTTGGAGAAAATACTTCCCAGTTAGCAAAAGCAGGCATAATACTTTTGCAACCCACCAGGGGGACCCTTTCCACAGCCTCCTGCAGCCCCAGCAGGAACAGTCAGCCCAGGCTGAACAGGGCATCGAACAGGACCTGGGAGCTCGGGACAGAAACCCGTGTTTGCTTTTTCCCTTCAGAATTTAGTAGACCCTAAGTGATCAGCAAATGTCCTTTCTGGACACATCTGCCTGGAGGGGGCGCTGGCTCGGTGAGGTGTGTTGTGCAAGGCTCAGGAGGCAGGCACGGGCTGCGGGGGGGCCAGGGGCTGTGGCCACCCACTACCTGGCCAGACGTGGGCCCACAGACTTCATACTTTCTCACAGAAGGAAGCTGATGGAAAACTTTGAAACACAGAGGGCACCTCAGGGACCCCGGCCACGTCCAGGGTACTGGGGCAGAGGGTTGCATGCCCATGTGTGAAACCCCCGCCTGTCAGGGGCTCTGACCTGGAAAGGGGGCTGCAGCAGCATGTTTGGGTCCCACCTCATGTCTGTTCCCCGCCAGGTTACTCATCTCAAGACACACCCCCTGGTGGCCTTGTGGGAAGATGCTGGGCCCCATCCTTCCTGATGAAGATTTTGTGTTGGGCACTCATGGGGACCACCTATCCAGCCTCACTCTTCCATCCATCCAAAGAGGCTGGGCCAAGGGAGTGGTCCTACATGTACAGGCTCCTGGGGCCTTCCCAGGGCCCACAGAACCAGAACAGGCAGTGGCAGGTGTGCGTAGGCAGGTGTGTGTGTGGGTATACACACGAGTGCACAGAGGGAGGTGGCCACTGGAGCCCAGACCGTGTTAAAGACACTCAAGGAGTGTTTGTACAAAGCCCTTCCTCAGGCCTCCTGAGCTCCTGACCCTGACTCAGGCACTTCTGGGCCCTGATGTCCAGCCAGGGGACATTTTCACAAAATCTACCCTTGAGGCACTCTGGAGCACCCCCCCCAGGGTGCTCACAACACACACCCTCAGGACGCAGAGGGGTCATTGCCTTTATTGAGGGTCCACTGTGTGCCTGTGCCCTGAGCTGCTCCCAGGTGAGCCCAGGGGAAGCCAGTCGTGTGCCTGGGCAGGGAGTTCTGGTCCCCAGGATGTCACAGAAGACACAGGCAGAAGAGCAGAGATGCGAGGAAGGTCAGCAGGACCCCCGGCTGGCGGTGGAGGCTGGGGGCCTCAGAGTAGCCATACTGTGTCCTGCAGGAACCATCCAGCTGGTCGAGTGGGATGGGCTCTTCCTCCGGGGTTTGCATGTGATTGCTTATCTAGGGACAGGTGCAGGTTGGACGGCCTGCCTGGGGGCATGAGGGGGTGGGGAGCATAGGCAGGTGCCGCACCTCACCTGCTCCACTGCTTCAAAGACCCTCAGCAGGTTTTCAGCCAATGCGCCCCTGATCTCCGCCTCTGTCCAGTTCCTCCTGAGCAGCTCAGCAATCAGGTCTGGATACTTGGAGACGTCCTCCAGCCCCGTGGGCAGCCTGTCAAGGGTGGAGAGAACCAGGCTCTGCAGACCCGGGGCCACTCCCAGGCACATGGAGGCCGGCACACTGTGCCTTCCAAGTGAGACATCCCGGGTCTGTCCTCAGAACACACTTTCCCTCCATCTCAGGACAAAGGGCTCACCCCTTACCTTGAGACGCCATCATAGTCCCCACCAAAGCCCACAGCTCCGGCTCCTGCCACCTGCTTGATGTGATCCAGGTGGTCTGCCCAGGGGAAGCAGCAGGTGTGGGAACCAAGCGAGGTCCTCCC